AAAAAAAAAATTTAATTAGAATAATTTATTTCTAAACTTTTATCTTTTATAATTTTTTTTTATAAAATTAAGCGACAATTTTATAAAAATTACCCACTTACTATTAATGAATGTTTTGTAAAGAAACAAACATTCTTCAATTTATCAAAGCGTATAATAATATAATATAAGTGTATATATTCTTTATTTAATGTATTATAAGCTTATATATTCTTTATTTTAGTATTTATGTTTTATTTCAACAAGATTTTAATAAAACTAACGATAGTTGAATTATATAATAAATAAAAAAAGTAAATATGTTTTTATATTTATTTCATGCTTTGTGTAATTTGAAAAGTTTAAAATATTTAGAACTATTCTTCTTAAGTAAGATAAACAATAGAAATAATTAAATCATTGCATTACTATAAAATATATTATAAGACCTTTTCTTTTAGCAGTGTCTCTATGCACCAGACCCATAAAACAGCGGTCTATAAAGACATGGCCGATGACACGGCTTTCGATGTGGAGGGGCACAGTTGTCAATTTCTAAAAAAAGTCCTCTGTATCTAGAACTTTCTTATAAAAATTAAAAAAAAGGTCCTTAGAAAAAAAAGTGCCAACCCCCTCTCTCTCTATCTCTCTCTCTCTCACATCTCCAAAAAGGCTTTCAGGGCCTTCCCCCCTCCTCCCTGTGTTGTTGTACCTGAAAGATCATTATACAAACTGCACACTATGTTTTCATTTAATAACTTTATATTTTACTTAGGTCCATCAGTTTATTATACTATAATATATATTATAAATTAATGTATAAAGGGCATATTACATTCTAAGTAAATTATGATTTTATTTTGTCATTTGCAAACTAGAAGCATGTTTTTTTTGCATCAAATTACTAGAAAGCAAACTTTTATGGTTAAACTAAAAAGGCAAAATATATTTATAAAGAGGAAGCGGAACTACTTCACAATACCACTGATGTATTTAGTGAGTAGGCTTTTTAATATATTTGTATGTTTTTGTTCTGTGTAGGCCGCTGATGCTGTGCTAGTTCACCCATAAGTCACTTTATATAAATGTATGTTTATGTTTTGTTCCACCTGGTGCGGTGTTCATCCAATCGTAATTCACTATGTATATATGTATGTTTATGTTCAGTCTCCTGTAAGTTCCTGTATGTTTATTATTACTTTTATTAACTATGATAATAATTATTTTTTTAGTTTTATTGAAAAGTTAGTTGTTGTTGAAAGTCTTATTTTTATAAAATCGATTACACAAATATTTTTAAAAGATTTATATTTAAAAAAAAAAATATTAATTTATAATTTTATTTATGTAATTATTTATTATAATTCTTATTAAAACTTAACTTTATATAATTTAAAAAATAAAATTAAAATGATTGTTTAGTTTATAAGGGCTTTGCTATTATTAAAACATTTGATTACATAAGATTTACGAATTTAATTGTTTTAGTATGTCAAAAAGTTTCGGACATACATGGAAACATACATAAATTTAAATGTTCTCAAAAATCTAAAAAGCCGTAGCTAAGTTGTCGCAACTAAATATAATTTGCGTGGTCATGAATAGAGTCTGACCACACCCGCTTTTCGACCAAGCATATATATATATATATATATATATATATATATATATATATATATATATATATATATATATATATATATATATATGTGTGTGTGTGTATATATATATATGTGTGTGTATATATATATATATATATATATATATATATATATATATATATATATATATATATATATATATATATATACATATATATATATACATATATATATATATATATATATATATATATATATATATATATATATATATATATATATATATATATATATATATATATATATATCAGGCCTTGCGATGAATAAGAGCTGCGCGACGCATAAGCACGACGTGATTTTTGACGTCATTAAATTCTTTTTATTTGCTTTTCATATTTATCGACATTAACTGCACCAATTTATTTAATTACCGCAAAACTACTTTAAATCGTTTATGTAGAAATGTTATTAATTAAAAATGTTTTGGAATGTTTCGTTTTTTAAAATGTAAAAACATTTGTTTATTTTCTCGAGTTTGTCACGTTTTGTCTATACTAAACGAATAAAAAACATTATAACTTAAATTTAAAAAAGATTATAAAATATGCTAATATTTGATTTTTTTTTTCTTAAATATGTAATTTAAAGTTTTTCACATAATTATTTTTTCTTTTTAAAAAGTCAGCGAGTAATAAACTGGAAATTTTAATATTGTACGATTAAAAACTGTGCAATAGCTAATATTTTTACAAGCGATTTTATATAATATTTATTTATTTATTTTTATTTATTTTCATAAAGCGGTTGATAAGCACAATCACTCGTATTAATAAAAAACTTAAACGAACGTTTTGAATAGATTTTTAATGTTAACAAGGAATTTTATTTCTAGTAAAATAAAATAAAATGTTAGAATAAAAATCTTATAGGTATAAAAGAAATATTTTAGCGAAAAAATTATTCTTAAAAATTATTCTTAAAAATTATTCGAAAAACTATTGACGTTCTATTTTTCAGCAGCTGTTCTTGAGCACGCTTCGATGAGTTTCGGTAACTTTTAACATAAAAGCGATCGTTATTATTTAAGTAATTTTTTTGAGTTCTTTTTACAAAAATTTTAATAACTGTACTTTTTCATTGAATCAAGTAGAATACGTTTTAATATTATTCTTTTTTTTTTTTTATTTGCCCTCACCAATTTTTAAAATGTTTCCTCGAAATCACTCTTAAATACTTTAAATACGTCTAACAGTTAATAAATATTTTTAAATCTATGGAATAATTTTAAAACCTATCAAACCCCTGTAAAATAATTATTTAAGTTTAAAATCTAAAACTAAAAGAAAGTATTTTTGTTCAATTTTATCGACAACGTTGCTATTGCTGAAAAATTTTATTAAAATGTTAGCTTAAAAGATTTAAACTTTTTTTTTTAATTTTTGAATTTTTTCTACTTGAAAATAATGAGCATATTTAATTTTTTTAAATTCAAACTTTTATTTCAACTGCATGCGGTTTTTAAAATACTTGATTAAATGTTAAAATAATCGTCAATTACTTCATTAAAATTCCGCTCAAAAATATCTTTAAATATACTCAAACAAAAAATTTTTTGCTCGACGCAAATAGCCCTAGCTACACGCAAAATCGCCCTTGGACGACGTAAAATTCACATCGCCCGACGCTTTATCGCAAGGCCTGATATATATATATATATATATATATGTATATATATATAATATATATATATATATATATATATATATATATATATACATATAGATATAGATATAGATAGAGATATAGATAGAGGGATAGATAGATAGAGAGAGAGAAACTTTAAAATTAAGTATACTTTTTTTGTAAAAATCATTAAGTTTAACTGAGAAATCTAATTACACTATCAGTGACGTATCCAGAAGTTTTTTAAGGAACACCATTTTAAGAAAATAGTTCCTCATTCCTCAGATATTTGTACTGGTGTAGCAATACAATTTTTTTTTCACAAGAGAATCACATTCAATTAATATACTTCCTTATTGACAAAAGAGTATGTTATATTTACTTTTATCCTATATTTTATATAATTTCCTTAATTTTTTATAATGCAAAAAATTTATTCTAAAATTATATCCATAATTAAGAACTTGAGTTTGGAATCAAATTTAGGCACCCAAACTGGTATACCGGTGTCAAAATTGAATAGTATGATACCGTATATGATGTTTTAATGCTTTTATATATATATATATATATATATATATATATATATATATATATATATATATATATATATATATATATATATATATATATATATATATATATATATATATATATATATATATATATATATATATATATATATATAATTGTAATTTCAGTTGATGAAAAGTTATATATAGTTTTTAACAACCTTTTTTTTTTAACCTAAGAAGTACTGTTGTTAAAAACTTTATATAAAAACTTTTTTTTTAAGAACAATTTTATTCAGATAAAGTTTTGCTTTTTGGTAAAAGTAATAGAAAAAGATACTGATATGAAAATTTAAAAAACATCAACACTTAGTCATAATCTGAAGTCTTTTGTTCACACTGGTACGTAGTTGTTAGAAATTTTTTTTTTTTTTTTCGCCATCTTTACCTCCAGCAAGGCTGCAAGAAACCACTATTAGAGTTGGAAGTTAAAGATGAAATTTAACTTCTTAAATTTTTAACTTTATGACCCTTATGGAAGACCTCTTCTTTTTAATGGATTGATATTTAACAGATTATTTGTGCACATTGCTTTCAAACAGCTAAAATATCTTGTCAAATATTTTTTTGGTACATTATTTAAAATAGTTTTAAATGGTTTTTGAATAATTAGCAGTTTTTAGGTTTTGCCAAAAGACAAAAATATTGGAATGATGTTTATGAATAAACATCACGAATGGCTTTTTAAAGTATCACTCCTTTTATAATTTATCTGAATTCATTTTTAATAAATTTTTAATATGTCATGAGACTATGGGCTGGAATACTTTTTTTATATACTTGGCTTGATACTTGTTTTTCAAATTTGATTAACATCATCATATTAGAATGCATCATTTCCTCCCAAGCTTGTATTTTTTTAGTAGAAAAAACTGATCATTCAAAATAAATTTAAAATCTTTTACTCTTGTTTACAAAGCTAAACATGTTTAAATTTTTCATATGAAAGTGTTATGTAAATTGCATAAAGCTGTTGAAACATTGATACATTACAAATAGTATTCTTATTTTATACAAATTACAATAAAGTTTTTATTAATTGGTTGATAAAGTATAAACTTAATTAATTGATAAAGTAAACTTTTGACCAAATTTTATTTGCCTCTTGTTATTTGACCTAAAATTTTTGTTTATCAACTTGATAATAATATATGCAGCTAAAATATATGCAAAAACAATTCATGCTAATATATTTGGGCTCTTCAATTCTTTGGATTTTTTAGTCATCAATGGAAACAACATTTGGTATTCTAAAACCACCACTTGGTAAAGTTCGTTTAAGTATAACAGCTTTAGTTTCGAGAGCAGTTGCAACCAACAATTATTTAATAAATGAAGCAATTGCAAAAGCAGGAACAGTCAAGATTTTGCTTGTATGATTTTTATAGTATGTTTGTTATAATAATCATATGATAATATTTATTTAAATAATAGTAAACTAACATTCTACTTTTTTTAGGATTTATTTTCATTCTATGAATGGAATAATTTTTTACATACACATGTTCTACAATGTATAGCAGCTATTCTTTATTCAGAATGTTTAGTTGATGAATCAGAAGAAAGAAAAGAAAATAAACTTCTTAAAAATGTTTGTATATTATTTTAAAATGTATATACTGAATGTTTTTTCATTTTATGTTATATTATTTTGCTAACCTTTTTTTAAATGTTTAATTATTTTTGCATTTACAAAAAAACAAAATTTTCTTAAAAATTGATTTTAAAATTAGTATGCTCTATTTTATACTATTTATACTATATACTTATACTTATATAGTATAAATGATATAAATGTATATACTATTTATACTATATAAATAGTATATATATATATATATATATATATATATATATATATATATATATATATATATATATATATATATATATATATATATATATATATATATATATATATATATAATGTATGTATATATTTACAGTTATTTGAAGAGTGCAAAATCTTTGAAAGATGTATAGAGTTATGGGAAAATAACGAAATTTCACAGTAAAGTGTTTTTATTTACAAATCTATTTCCTCGTTTTTTGTTTTACTTTATCCAACATCCTTTCTTTTTTTTAAATATTAAAATTTACTGATTTTTAAGTCAAGTAGTTTAGTCTTTTACAGATTGTTTTTAAATTTTAAATTGATAAATATGTAAAATAATAGTTGGGTTATTAGTAATCACACTGTTACAATAATTTATTAGTAATCGCACTGTTACAATAATTTATTAGTAACCGCACTGTTAAAATAATTTATTAGTAATCACACTGTTACAATAAGTTATTGTTAATTGCACTGTTACAATAATTTATTAGTAATCACACTGTAACAATAAGTTATTAGTAATCATTATTAGTAATTTAATGTATAGTTTGTTTGTGGAAAGGAGTTACTTAGGATTTTCATGCATGTATTAAATACTTTTTCACTTTTCAAACAGTTTATCATTTTCTTTGATTTCTTTGATCATAAACATTCAATGTTAGTCATTTTGTGATTTACAGATTGTTTCAATAATTTGATAATTTTACAGTAATATAGAAATGTTTTTCCCTAATAAAGCTTCTATAAATGTCAATTAATGTTGGTCACCAAAATGTTTTTGCTGAAATTAAATTTGCACTAATACAATAATGATCTTCAAAAAAGTTTTTTTTATTTTAATCAACTTAAAACATGGTTTTAAAATTAATCCTGATTTTAATATTTTTAGTATCGAATTTTGCAATAATAACATTATATATTATGTTTTAAAATAAATTTTAAAATGTGTCATTAAAATAAACTTAAATGTGTAAAAATTTTGTGTATTAGATTAAAATAACTTAAAAATTAACACAGAGTAGAATCAATTATTATCTAAACATTTGAACATTTTATTATTATAAGTACAGTGTTTTTTAAATTTTTTGTTTTGCTCCTATTAGAAAATCTGGTGGGTCAAGAAAGGGTTACATGGGTCACTTAACAAAAATGATAAACGAAATAACAAAAGCAAAAGAAAAAGGCCCCAATCAAGAGCTTATTATGTCAATGTTTAATGGTAAGTTGTTGTTTTTTTAATTGTATTTAACTTGTTTTATTTTTTTAAAAGTCATATACTAATGTACTAAGATCAAATAAAATTGAGTTGTAAACATTTAGACAAAAAGCATCACAGAACTTTTTTCATATATTAAATTTTTTATAAGATCAACTTGTTTTTCCTTGCAGCAGCCTTGTTCGTCAAGGTTCGTGTTTTAAAGTTATAGAGTTGAAAGTGGGTTGTAACCACAACTAAAATGTAGCCTCCTCGGCTGTAGTGGCATTCATGGCCTTGGGGAGGTAAATTGAAATAAATTTTTTTTTCATTTCTATTACATTTTTCAGAATTATCAGATGAAACAAGAGAAAGTTGGAATTCTTTGGTTACTGGCCAACTTGCTGATCTAAATAAAAAAAATATGTGTTCAGCTATGGTATGTTGCTTTTGTTTAAATAAGCTTATAAAATCATCTTTATAATTTTTATTATTATTATTAATTTTGTTATCAAATATTTTTAAAACTATTTTTGTATTTTTATATTAATATGATTATTTTTATTGTTATTACTGTTATTATTAGTAATATTATTTTTGTAAACAAGATTTTAATAGTTAATTAATTTTCTACTTTTTTACTTATTTTATTTTGATATTGATGTTTTTATTATCTTTTTTTATTAAGAAATATTTTTTTTTTATTATGTAATATTCTTATTAATAATATTCTCTCATTCTTGTTAATTTAGTTTAACATTTTTTATATATTATATAAAGGTGTTTTTTTAAGTCCAGAACTTGAAATTATAAAAAATAACCCAAAAAATTAAATTTTAATCAAACATTTTTCACAGGAAATAATTTAGAGGTGTCAAATTGCATGCTCTTGGAGGCCAATTGACTGGTCCATTTCTTGAATTCAACATATCACCAAATTTTGATTTTAATAAGTCTATGGTTGCAGCTCCATATGACACGTATCGCCATCCTGTTGAAATCATCTTGTCAGGATCAATGTTACCCATATTTTTAAGCAAAAAATTGTTGAATATGGTTCAGTAACGAGCTCCTTTGACCATAAAGCAAGCTCCAGTCTGAATTTTCTGAATATAATGAAGTCTTTATGTCTTTTGTGGATTGTTCTCTCTCAATTTTGCTGGATCTGTCTTTCGATTTTGCTTTTTAACAAAGCTATTAAGCCAAAAATGAGATTTATCACTGAACACAATTTAGAAATAAACAACAAGTCAGTTACCAACTACTCTAGACACCAATTGGTGAAAGAACAACATGTATAATGATCTTGTGGCTTCAATTCCTGTATCAACAGGACCTTATACGAGTGTATGTCAAGATCTTTATACATAATTTTTTATGTAATGGATAGACTGAGCAACAATTCCTCCCACTGACGATGAATTGATAATCTTGGAACTCCACACTTTTGTTTACAGAGGAAATATTCTCTTTAGTATGCACATTCCTTGGATGTAATCATGTCCATCCTCTAGAGAATATGTGGTACAAAATCTATTCAGGCAGATGGCTTGGTCATATAGACGATTATGTGCACCATAAAAATTATGAAGTCATCTATAAGTTGTCTTTTATATTTATTATATATATATATATATATATATATATATATATATATATATATATATATATATATATATATATATATATATATATATATATATATATTTATATAAAATAATAATATATATAGAATGTTAAACTAAATTAACAAGAATATTGCATTTTATTGTTACCAACACAATACTTTCATTGTACCAACATTAAACTTTTATTGTGCAAGCACTAAAATTACAAAAACATCACTAACAAATTGTAAAAGTCAATGAAGTGTTATAATGACATTAAGTTAAAGCTTTTTAACTTGTTATTTTATACAAATTTATAATTTTTTAATATCAGTATTTTGCTTCTTGGATTAGGTTTAAAAGGCATTTCCGTTAGATACTAAACCAATAATTTTCTACAATTCTAAGAAAATAATTTTAATTGTATAATAGTTTTAGTTTTTTTAAAACTTAATTACATTTTTTAAAAATAGTTTCATAATATAAATAAAACAAATTTTAATTTTTTGAAAACATTTAAAGCTTTTTTGTGGTATTTTTGAAACATACTTTTAAAAAAATTGGTTGTGAATTTTTCATTATGCTATTTTTTTAAAATAATATAGGGTAACATGGTTATTGGACTTGATACAGATTCTGACTCAGATGAAAATAAACACAACTTTTCACGGTATGAAGCCGAGGGATCATTACAGCAGGTAGTTTTGTTTTTCAAATCTAATTAGAGATGAGAGCAGTTAAGATTTTTAAGGCCAAAATAAATATTTGTTGTCTGTAAAAATAAATAATTGTTGCCTGTAAAAATAAATATTTGTTGTCTGTAAAAATAAATATTTGTTGCCTGTAAAAATAAATAATTGTTGCCTGTAAAAATAAATATTTGTTGCTTGTAAAAATAAAAACACTGTAAAAGATCCTCTTCTGTGGAGCACTGGTTGGCCGAAAAATTTCTGCAGCAAAAACCTAATTTGATAAAATTGATTCAAATGCCCCATATGTAAACTAAGTTGTTATAAAAAAATAATTTTAAAACAATCTAAACTTACATCAAAATGACATGTTATCTGCAATTACATTTATATATATATATATATATATATATATATATATATATATATATATATATTTTTTTTTTTTTTTTTTTTAACATCTTCACTTCCAACAAGGCTGCAAGCAACCACTATAAGAGTTGGAAGTTACTGGAAGAGAAAAGACTAAATCTGTAGAGCAAGATGACGATTGACTGATGACTTAAAAGATTGCAAATTATATGAATCAGGAAAGCAAGATGAAGGAAGCGAATTCCAAAGAACTGATGTTCGAGGAAAAAAACTAGAAGAATAAGAGTTTTTGAAGCACTTAGGAACAGTCACAGAAAAAGGATGAGACTTAATTGAATGGCGAGTAACACGAGAATGAATTTTAGTAGATGGCACAAGGGACGCTAGCTCTTTAGAGCAGTGCCCATTATAGTATTTGTAGAAAAGAGAAAGAAAAGCAACATTACGACAATGTGACAAAGATTGGAGATTGGCTGCCAGAGCAGGTCCAACTATGTTTACAATTCGTTTTTGCACCTTGTCTAAAAGAGAAAGAGCATCATTAGAAGATCCGCCCCAGATGTGGCAACAGTATTCCATACAGGGACGGATTTGAGATTTATAGAGATAGAGAATAGAATCTGGAGTAAGAAAGTGTCGAGCTCGATAAAGAGATGCAACCTTAGCAGATGCTAATTTTGCAATGGATTTGATATACGGTTTAAAAGAAAGATCAGAAGTAAGAGTTAATCCTAGAAGATAGATGTAGAAGATGGTAGATGACTCATCTAGTACATTACCATTCATAAATATAGGAAGATTTAAATTATTACGATAACGATTGGCCGAATAAAATTGAGTTTTATCTGAATTAAAGTTCACCAGCCACTGTGAGCCCCATGCTGTAGCAGAAGTGAGATCCTTTTCAAGCTCAGATACCCCCTCCAAGCAATCAGAGAGTGTAGGCTTCTTATCATGACAAGAGTAAATGGTAGTGTCGTCAGCGAATAATGCCACCTTAGATGTGAGAATATCTGGAAGATCGTTAATGTAAATTAAAAAGAGTATAGGGCCAAGGGTTGAACCTTGAGGAACCCCTGAAGTTACAGGATGTGAAGAAGAGTGTTGTCCATCGAGGACAACTTTTATACTACGATTGGAAAGAAAGGACTCAATTATCTTAAAGATGTTACCAGCTACACCATAAGAAGAAAGCTTATGGAGAAGACCAGCATGCCAAACTTTATCAAAAGCTTTAGAAATGTCAAGTGCGATAGCCTTAACCTCTCCACCTCTATCTAATGCACGGTAAAACCTATCGGTTATTACTGTTAGCACATCAGCTGTAGAACGAGAAGATATATATATATATATATATATATATATATATTATATATATATATATAACCCTCGGAATTAGGGTTGGCATTCGGCAAAGCTAATCTAACTGTCGACCTAAATATGTTTGATGTCGGTAAAATATTGCCATTTCAATGTTTTATGGTAAGAACTTTGTTTCAATTTTTTTTTTTTTTTTTTTTTTTGCCGACCTCTATAAGTTTGAGGTTGGCAAAGTATTACCAACCTCATTTTTCTTAATTCTGAGGGTTGATATAATTTGGTTGAAGTTATGAAATTTTGCTCAAATTCACCCAAAGCTATGTAATTTTACTCAACTTTAGTTAAAATTATCAAATTTTAAGTAAATTTATTTAAGATTAGTTTTTTTTTAAATTTACTTAGTCTATGAAGCATAAATAAACTTTAAATTAAATAAAAAAGTAAATTTAGTTAATTTTTTTTTTAATTGTGTGATTACTCAAACAATTATTTTTTATCTTATAATTGATCAGTTGCTCCTTGTTAGTCCTTGCTCTTTTATATTTTTAAATCTTAATATTAATGCTGTAATTTAATGTTTGATGCGCTTACTTACAATTGTTAGTTATTCTCTTGCATAACTAAACGGTGTTTAGTTACGGTAAACTTTCTTTAACTAAATGGTGTTTGAAAACTTTTGATAGTAGTCTTGATAAATAAACATTTGTTTGTTGTTTTCTAATTTTTAAGTCTGCTTAGAATTTTTTGTCAGTTTTCTTTTTTTAGAAGAAATTGTTACTAAAATGACTGGTAACGCAGTTTTTTTAGTTTAGTGTTTTTTTTTAGTTTAGTGTTTTTTTTTAGTATAGTGTTTCAGTTTTGTCCTTAGTCTTTTTTGGGACAAGTTTTTTAGTGAGTTTAGTTTTGTTTTTCAGGAGCTATTGGAGGAAGCTAAAGCCCTTTTTAGCTAATTCAATTCATTTTATTCTTTATAGATTATTTTTTGTTCTGCATAAAATTATAAGGATTAATTAGAACGAAATTTTTTAGACAGTCAAACTGACAGGCCTGTATCAACTGGGGGGTCAGCAAGCAGGGTTGTCATTAAAAAACCCGCCCAATAAAACGCAATAAAACCCGCCTAAAAAAACCCAATAAAACCCAGGCAATATGGGTTTTTTTGAAATATATCTAAAAACTTATGAACTATTACATTATTAATATACTATTATTAACCAACATTTCTGAAAACATAAACATATTATAGAGCTAGCTATAAAGGGAAAATTTCAATTTAAACACAACATTATTTTTATTTAACACAATTTTATTTTGGAAACCAAACAAATTAGATTCATTCAATAAGATTTTTTAGAATAGGTACACATTGACAAGACTAATTACATTTTTGATATACTTCTTGCAAATACAACTTTACTTTAATGTAATATTCACTTTATATTGTAAAAACATAAACTCTAATGTAAAAACATAAGCTCTAAACTATTTTTGATACTGTCTATATATTTGCACAAGCTTTTTAGCCTTTTCACATCCTAATTTATTTCTAACTTTGACCAAATAAAACCAAACAAAGAAAATATTATTTCTATTGATCCTGAGCTAGCAGGGTACGCTTGAAATTTAGAAATAAATTTGCAAAATCCTTCAAGCAATTTTTTCTGAATTGATTTTTCATTTCTCTGGTTAATGATAGACCACCAATCACTGCACAATATTGTTGATATAATTTGATCGCTCAACATCCTTTTAGGAAATGCATCACAATCCTTTAATTTAAGCAAAAGGTACAAAATCAGGATAATGATTGTAAAGCCATTCTTCAGCCTCATCTTCATTTTCAATTGGCAGGTTTTTGCCTATTAAAAAAAAATTCAGATTAACATATAGGTGTGAAAACTATTTTTTATTTTAAGCAAAACTTATTTTTTAAGCAAAATTTATTTTTACCCAAAAAACGAGGATTGGTCATGTATGCAAGATAATGGATAGGTGTCATAGCATCATTACATCTCTTTTTGATAGCTGTGTGGTAATGACTTAGTTCAGGGTTATTCAGAAGTGAGAGCCACAACTCAACACATTCGGATAGGTGACAGCTGTCACTTTGCATCTAGAAAAAAATTTAATTTTTAATTTATTTAATCAACATAATATATTTATTTTTACTACTTTTCCTTTACACCTACAAAATCTTATTAATTAATAAAACTTTAATATAAAAAAATTAAATACTTGATCTAAAACAACACCAAATATTTTGAGTTGGGTTTGAAGACTGTTAGCATCTCTAAATATTGCTCGATTTTCAATAATTTTTCTGATTTTGATAGGTATATCATGATTATCTACTATTTCTACATAAATTTGGTAATTTTTTATGTATGTTTCTATATACAGTCAATTTGGGAGTTCCATCGGGTATCGTTTGGTAACTGAGGCATATGCCCTCCTTTCTCATCCAACCATCCCTTAAAATAAAAATTGAATAGTTAATTTTAAACTTTTATATATTTTTTATACTTTAAGTTTAACCCACAAATGCAAAATAATGTTTACATGCGGTTGATGTGTATTACGAAAATATTTCTGCACTTCAACCACATGTTTGATGACATCTGGGTGTGTTACTTCTTTTTCTAAACTTGGCTGTTTTTTTATTTGATGCACAATCAGTAATGCATAAAATTTTAGAATTAAGTCTGTCATATGCACTGTGAGCAATAATGGGATCATTAGTAACACTACTCCATCCGTCTTGCATAATTGTTATTGTTTTCTCTTCTTGGGTAAGTTGATCCATCATTTTTTTGTTTACTTCTTCATAAACTTTTTCTAAGAGCTCTCCTCCAAGCATTTTATGGTTAGGTGGTTTGTATCCTGGTCTCAATGAATTGATCATGTCTATAAATTCTTGATTTTCAGAAGTTTTAAATGATACATTTGCACTGAAGAAAAATTTTGCTATTTTTATATCAATATTTTCTTTCTATTCCATATTAGTTGATATTGTGTACAATGACATCAACCGCTGCTTCTTACAAGGTGTTAACGAACTTATAGAACTTACAGATACCAAAGAACTTTTTCCAACTTGAGATGATGGTCCAGCTATTAGAGCAGATGCACTAATATTTAAATCATTATTTGGTACATCATAACAGTTTTTATTTAAATATTTTGACAAATTGACATTTGTCAAAATATTTAAATAAATATTGTTTTCAACTTCAGTCACTTCATCCCATTCTCCAGCTTTCTTTCTCCCACTTTCTATCGGCATTTTTAATTATAAAAAATATTATTATTAAATCTAAAATAAATCAATACATATAGGTTTATCATGATTTTTTTTTGTTACATTTTTAGATTTTTTTTAAACTGTATTTAAAAAAGACTTATTGAAAATAATTATAAATTTTAAAAACTTATAAAATATATTCTAAATAAACTTAAAGTTAAAAATGATATTAGTTTTCAATATTATTAAACAAACAAAAAAACAACCCAAAAACCCGAAAAACCTCACTGGGCCAGGTTTTTTTTAAATAAACCCGGGTTTTTGCCAACCCTGTCAGCAAGGGCATTTATTCGACAGTCAAACTGATACTGATTAAGTTAAACTAAATAGTTTACTACTTAGTTTTACTTTCAGTTAAAATTTTTTTTCATGTATTTAATATGAAAAATTAGATAGGATTGTTATTTGTTAAGGTGGACATGTATTTCAGGCACCCCCTTTAGTAAGTTCATAAAAAGGTCTTATACAAAACAAATTAGCGGTTGAAAACCATACCTTAACCAAACCCTAACTATGATCCTTAGGGTTAGGCTCAGGTTTTGCTTTGGGTTTGATTAGGGTATGGCTTTCAATAAAATAAACTTTATTGTTGGGTTCAGGGTGAGAGTAATTAATAATAACCGTCTTCGTAATGAAAAAGATAGAGCAAGGCAAAATGAAGTTAATTGTCGTCAAAATATAAGAAATTCTGCTCGGCGAAATGAAATTAGTTTGAACCCTAATGAAGATAATATATAGGCGAGTCAATAATAATTGTTGTCAAAATGAAAGAAATAGAGCTAGGCGTGAGGAAATCATCTACAGAGAGGAAATCATCTACAAAATGTAGGAAATGCTGAAATTAATTTGAACCCTAATGAGGATAATGTGGTTGGCAAGTTAATGATAACCACCGTCAAAATGAAAGAAATGGAACTCGGTAAGATGAAATTAATAATGAAATTAATCTACAAAGTGTATGAAATGCAGCTTGACAAGGAAGATTTTAATTTTTTAGGAGAATTGAACGAGATCTGTCTGCATTGTTGTGCTAACAAGTTTCCTGATGAAACACATTTTTTATGTTGCCTTAATGGAAAAGTAGTTTTGTCTCCACTTTCACCACTTCCACAAGCTTTACAAGATTTAATTACAGGGAGTTATACAGATCATAATTCCAAAGATGAATTTTTTTAAGTATATTAAAAATTATAATGCATGTCTTTCTTTTGCTTTATTTACAGCTAATGTGGTTCATTCTAAGAATCATGAGCCACCATGTTTTACAATATGCGTTCAAGTTTTTTATTGTGTAGATATTCTTAGGCCAGATCAATATATTGCCAACTTTATATCTATGACCCACTTGCAGCAGTAAATTTTAGAATGCAACAATGTGTTAATAATCTTTGCTTACGTGATTCCAAATTTGGATTCTTGTTGAATCCAAATTTGCCCTGCATGAAAGTTGAAGTATGCAGCTAAAAATATCCTAAAAATAGTAGAGCTAGGCTAGGCTATTATACTAGCCGGCTATTTTTTTATAACTAAAGTTCTATTTTTAAAATAATAAAATGGTGTAGAGCAAAATGACCACCCGTGCCAGCCAAGCAGTGTACTTAGCAGAGGTGTGACAGCATTTGATAGCCTGGTAAAGGTGTCATTATTGTATATATAGGTTCTGTTGTTTAGCCTTTAATAATTATATAGAAAACACATATTAATGTTTAGTGTCATGTAATGTGATTAAATTAATATGTTATCCTATTCTGCGTAATTGTCGTGTTGTACTTTGTTGTAATGTTTTGTGTTAATGGACAGCTTGATTTGTCTTTCTGTTATTGTCTATCGTTAAGAATGATTATAGGTAGTTTTATTAGTCTACCTAACTACTTTTAATCATTTATTAAAAGCCAAGACAACATTTAATATTGCTATAATCCAATTGTTTAAATCTCAAATTCTTTTTTTTATTTTATAGTGTTATTAACAACTTTGCTCTTTAAATAAAATATTATAGTTGGTTTTTCATTAAAGAAATTGATTTCAAAATTGATCTCAAAATTGATTGAAGTTTTTTTTTTAAATCTATTTTAAATAATGACTACTATGGAGTTACATTATTTTTTTAATACATGATAAATTATTGTCCCTATCGGTAATAAATATCTTTAATTATAGTCATATGTTTTTCTTTATAAAAAGCTGTGCTAGGCCTCAGTTCTGTAGATGGGTGCTGTTATAACTGACTTTAAAAAGTACATTCATTACAAAAGATGCACTGTCTTCAACATTATTTTTTTTCTAAGAAAACTGACAAGTTTTTTGTTTTTTTGTTTTAATAAATAATTAACAATTTGTAATTTATATATTTAAATAAATTTGTTTTAAAGATATAAATTTAAGACTTTCTGCTTTTATGGATTTGTTAAAAGGTTTTTTGAAAAAACAAGTTTAAATATATATTTTTACAGATTTATCTGTTTTCTAACCTTTTCAGCCCATTACCTATACAAAAGTTAAAGAAAACTTTGTTAAAAACTAATGATTTTAACTCAAAATTAAAGGTAAAATATACTCCTATAATACTCCTAGTTGCATAATTTAGATAACTGAGAACAAATTTGTATATACACCATAAAATTGTATAAAATATACTCCTATAATACTCCTAGTTGCATAATTTAGATAACTGAGAACAAATTTGTATATACACCATAAAATTGTATAAAATATACTCCTAAAATACTCCTAGTTGCATAATTTAGATAACTGAGAACAAATTTGTATATACACCATAAAATTGTATAAAATATACTCCTATAATACTCCTAGTTGCATAATTTAGATAACTGAGAACAAATTTGTATATACACCATAAAATTGTATACAGATTATAACAAACTTATTTCATTGGTTTATTTTTTAAAAGATAGTGATGTTTTGCAAAATGATATTGATAAGTTAGTAGAATGGGTATATAAATGGAATATGGATTTCAATATTGGAAAATGTAAAAAATGCACATTGGTAAACACCAGTTTCAAGTTAACGTTAAATCAAATTAGAAGTAAAAATCGATTTCATTAATGTGAATGAAAACTGAAATTAAGAATTATTTTAAAGTTATTATAATTTGAAAAAGTACTATTTTTTTTTTTTTTTTAATAGATTAGTGTTTTTTGTTGTTGTTGCTATTACTAACTTTGATAAATTTATTTTAGGCTTATGAAAATTATCAAGTGCAACCAATGACAAATGAGTTCATGGAGACATTTGGCTATGATGAAATTGCTGTGCATGACAGTCAAGACCTTAAGTAAGATTTTTAATTATTTTTTCAACAGGAAAAAGTTAAAGACCGA